TTCATGCATAAAAAAACATAAAACAATCAATTTAATCATAATTGAAAGGAACCCATTAAATTGAATAAAACCCTAACTTCAATTGGAGATTATAACTTATAAAGATGGAGAAGTTAGGACCCCAATGAAGGAAAGGACTCCATAGGTGAATATTATCATACTTTGATGTCAAAAGCTCATAATCAATGGTGAATTTGGAGACTTGATCTTGAAACCCTAGACTTCTTCTTCAAGCTTTAGAGAGAGAAATTTTGTGGAAGAACTTTAGAGGGACTTGAGGAATTTGAAGAATGATTTAGAGTAGTTAGATTTTTGGCTTAAAAGACCTATATATGGTCTAGGATTATGATTAAAATGACATAATTTAGACACTAATTAATTAGGAAAAAGACGAAAAAACCATTTAAAAATAATTGCCGACCACCATATATGGTTGGATTCATGGTCCGTATGTCCATCGGATCGTACTGATCAACTGTAGAAAGTGATCAAAAACTATATGTTTGGCCGATGACCGACGAAACTCATGTACGGTTCGTAGGTCTACTGAACATGCCAACCGTTGAAACTAACTTTAAGCTTCAAAATTTCACTAAGTCTTGGGTGACCTACAAGACCTACTTACGACCCGTAACAGGACCAATAGACTGTCCTGTTAAACTGTAAAAAGGGTACTACTCTGAGTTGTATTGAAAAAATTATTTTCCTAGTGCATACGGTTACCATCTACGGTCCGTAAATGGGATCCGTTGGTACAGACACCAGCCTAAAGTAAAATTGTATTTTCCAAATCCGAGGCGTTACACCAAAATTTACACTCATTCATATAAATAAATAACTCATGAGACCTCGTTATACGCATAAAAAAATATCTAACATTCACTATTATAATATTTTTAGTATATTAAAATTATATTGTAAATGTTACATTAATAATTGATTTTCTTTTTTATTTCTAGAACAACCTTATTTTCCGAAATTTTGACTTAATTATTGGAGGTTATTCCTCAAAATCATCATTACTGTAGTAACCACCTTTTTAGAGCTATATTTCAGCCTCTACAAATCTCTTATTTGATGCAATTTATTGGATTCCGTAATTTTATTTTTACCTCTAATGTCCCAATATTGCTATAAATAAAAATAAATAAAAGTATGTTTAAAAGATGTAATTATTTGTTAAAAACACTTATTCAAGTAGCTAGTTTCTGAGAACGTGCCTTTCACGTTTGTTCCTTATTATTATTATTATTATTAATTTTTATATACTAAAAAGTTAAATAATTAAAAAGATGCTTAAATTAACAATAGTAGTTTAACCATTTATCTTTTATTCGCTAAATTATAACAAATATAATATGAAGAACATTAAATAGATGATATATCTAGTTATTTTTTTGTTATCATTCTCTCGTTCTCTTTTCTTCTCATGTTGAATAGTGCAATTTCCTTCCTATGATAATATCAATCTTAGTAAATTGGTTCTTAAAAAATATATTAAAAATTTAATTCTCAAAGTGTTTTTACAATAATAATGGAGAATGACTCTTCACATTGAACTTTTAATTTTAAAAAATTATGTGTATAAGACATAATTAACATTCAATAATTAGGCAGAAAAATATCACATTATCATAAATAAAATAATATCACTAAGGCAAAAGTAGACATTCTAGTTTGGAAAATAATTACTACTTAACTATTTATGGGTCCAACTCCAATCAATAATCTATAGATGGGAGTTTGACAATTTTTCAGCTATAGTTAAAATTTTACATCAACAATAAATAGCTTATTATCACAGTAGATAGACGTTTGATGCATAAAATTTATAAATGCTAAGAGATTTAGTAAATATAGTACATATTCAAACTTATGATAAAAATACTTGGTATATTACGAAACACACTTGAAGCCATTACCATGACTAATATGTCAATTATTTTTATTATTATATCACATATACGTCTTCTTTTTTACCTTAAAAAGTACTGTATACATGATTTATGAAGGAAAAGAATAATACTCCTTTTTTCATAACATTACTCTTTGAACAATTGATTTAAATTGAGCAATATAAACTTTTCAAAATGACTTATTCTAGATATATGATCAATTTGAGGAATGAATGTTCCAACAAACAAATAATAGACTAATAATATCAATAAATTATACATATAAACGAAAAGTTAAAATAAAATACAACCACAAAATCATATATATACTATATAGAGTATGATTCATTCTTTATCTCCAATTAGGTGGGCCATTTTATTTTAGGATATATATATATATATGATTTCTCATTTAGTCATTGTTCTCACTACTCATAAATAATAATTAAAAATATATTTACACTAAAGTTGAACACTCTAGCGAGAGTCAAATAAGCATGTCAAATAAACTGATAAATCTTTCATAAATATTAATTTCATCAGTAATTAAGATCCATAGTAGAACATGAATTGTATATTACTATTTTCTTCATGTAGGATACAAAATATTCTAATAAAAAAAACAAAACATAAAAAAGTACATCAACATATATAAAAAGGAAATATATAATACTTAGGACGGACAAAAAGGAGTTGATAAAAACAAAAAAATAATTACTGCACATACAAAATGATTTGCAAAGTTCGTTTTTGCATAATAATCTCTCATCCTACTCTTGTCATTTACATGAAGATCATGCTAGGTAATTTATAGAAGTAGCTATAATGACCTTTGAGTAGATAATTAATTTGCATTAAATTAGTTCAATTGTTTTAGTCCATATCAAATTTGTTTAATGGAAAAACTTTTGAAATACTCCTGATTTTTACAATAGAGTAACTAATTATTAATGTAAATTTGATTCATGCACCAATCTAAATAAGTTATTTATTGAATAATTAATTATATTTTATTATATTTATTTAATTATTTTAATATAACAATAAAATAGTAATTCAACTTTGAGCTTTGAATCTTCCCACTTATAATATAAATAAATATAATACGATTTTTAAAAATCAAATATGTTTAATATGAACACAATTATTGAAGAAAGTCAATGTCGGACAAAACAAAAGATATATTTCAGAAGTTGTGCAGTATTTTTTTTTCAGTAAGATACACTTATATATTACCAACAAAGATAAATTCTTAAGTATCAAAGAACGTGTTTCTTCTACAAACACATGCATGTTTTCATATGACAAGTGTCTTCTTGTAAAGATCCACGTGAACAATTTTATTCTTTTGAATCTATTTTTAGTGTTATTTTTTCATAGTTGTTTATGATTTGCGAGAATAGGTGACACAATTTCTGAGGTAATCAGATGATAATTAGTTGAAATTTTACTTGTTTTGAAGGTTTGAAATTTGAGAGCTTTGATCAAGTTGGTATTCTAGGTTAACAAGCTTGTATTCAAATTTTGACAATTTCGTTAAATTTGAATGGTGATTTCTGACTTGAATAAATGGTAGGTACATGTTTTGAGGTGCTTGGAAATGATTTAATCCTTCTGTTGGATTTTTGAATTTTAAAGAAGTTACGTTTAACCAAGGTCAAGTTTCTATCAGGATGACCTTGCATCAGTGCTTTGATAACTCCAACCTCGTAAAAGTAATATTCGTCGACAAATTTGATATCCACATATTTAGGACAAAACTTGAGAGAAACCTCCGTGTTAATGCTTGAGTATATAAATAAAATTTTAACGATCCGATTCTACACTCTGGACGTGGTCAGCACTCGAGAGCCATTGTTGGTTCTCAAGTGAACCCTCATCCTGGCTAACTACAATCTACTTAACTTAAGCATACAAAGCTTAAAAAATGAAATAAAAATTCATAAACTTAAAAACAAACTTTAACTAAAAAAAAAAGTCTCTAAATAATATATATTTAACTCGCCCTACAATAGGCAATTTAAGTCTTTAAAACATTTAATAAAGTAAATAAACAGACTTCTAAGACTCCATAGTCTATTTATGAAGCCTCTAAATGACAAAGATGGAAGTCGATACAAGACCCATGACCTCCTAACAAATGATATAACTGAAAGTAAAAGTGCAACCCTCCGGAAGAAAGGATATTCACCATAGCTAACTCGAACGCCATGTGGTATCAACGAAACTCTTGTTGATGACCTGAAATACTTGTACCTGCATAAGGAGTATGTAAGGAGAATTTCAAAGCATAACTTAAGCTTGAACTCTATAAAAGGGAAACATACTTACCTCTTTTCAAACTTACTCAACTCAAGAAATATTCAAGGATACTCAAACTACCCAAATTTACTCAACTCATAAGTACTCAAGGATAAGATATTCAATCCAATATAACTCAATAATAAGGTACTCGACACAATGAAGCACAAATCAACTTTTGATATTCAACTCAATATAACGTTAGATAAGAGATACAATATATGGAAAATTTTTAAAACAATATAAAACAACTTTAATATATATAAGAATACAATATACTCAGTTTGCATGTATAAGAATACAATATAACTTTGTGGGAGTTTCTCGAACCAACAACCACCACTCCAAGCCTAAGTTATGAAGTAACGTATTTTTCACACTGTCAGAACTGTCCTATACTTTCTGATACCAATTTGGGGGGGGGGGATCAACTATATTGCAGAATTGTGAGAAAAGAGAGATGTATGGATGGCTAGTGATTGATGATTTATTTACAAAGGCAAATGCCACTTATATACAAGTTCCTAATGATCTTTCATCCTTACTAAATGACGATTGATCTTTACTATTTACACAGTAACTAATCTTTACTATTTACACAGTAACTTGACTCCTACTATTCATGAATGTGACTTTTTGTCCTCTACTATTCATGAATAGGACACACTGACTTTTTTTTAATGGCGTTCTTGGCCGACAATTTACATAACTATTTACATGACTCAAAAAGTAAAACTATACAAATTGACTAATTTGTACATATCTCTTTATGTCTATTTTTGCCTTTATCTTCTTCTTCTTAGTTCATTCCAGCTGTACTTCTGGGACATAGTTATCTTCTTCATTGCATTTTGAACATATATGTTCCTGATACTTATGTCCAATCAGTTTGCAATATCTAGTTAATAATTCTTTCGAAATAAATCCTTGCTTTAAAGCTCTAGTTGTTGGTGGTAATTCTAGCTTTAACAAAGATAATATCCATCTCTGAACTTCTGCCATATCTGCTGTCCTAACTTCTTTGGAATTTGCATATATCATTAAATGATCTCGAGAATAATAACTCCAAATAGAAATTCCTTGTAGATAATTTGTAGCTAGTTCTTGGATTATAGTTGATAGCCCAATTGTTCTTTTATTTGCATAAAAATTAGGTATCTGAACTTTAGGTATTTCTCGCTGTGCCGATATATCCTCTGGTATTATCATTTCCCGTGTCAATCCCATTTTGACAACTTGGATAGTTTATTTTATTTCGTCAAAAAGTATTTCTGCTGGTGCTGTATAAAATTTTATAAAAAATAGGTTGCCTTTTGTAATTCTTTTGTATGTTAAAAAGGCTTTGTGGATCTCAGAGATTCCACTTATTTCTGTACCATCGTATGTATATACCGTACTAAGTAGTCCATAACTGCAACAAGTTCTAACCAAGTTTGGGTTAGTTTTAGGTTGTGCGATTAGTTTGTTGTAGCCTTGCAAATGTTGGGTTACATAATCCTGTGTTTTTTCTGTAGTGGTAGTAGATTTTGGCTTGAGGTTTAAAAAAGTTTGGATCGTATATATGTTTTTGATATATGATTGGGTAATATGGTTATATATCTTCTTTTCTCTATTTAGGCTTTCTGCGTCGGTAGAAGTTTGTGGATTTGGTGTTATATCTATAATTTGTTTTCTGGGAATGAATGGTTTTTCAAATAGATTGTTTAAATTGATATTTTTTCCTTTACTTGTGCTTGCTTCATTTGTACCTGCAGTTGATAATTTGTTAGTATTTTGAGTTTTTAGGTGTTTCTCAACGTCACCTTTTAGTTCTGGCCTTTTATCGTCTACCGGACGACGTAGTTCCACATATTTAGAGTCATGCTGCTGACTGTTAGATGCTTTCTTCAATAGTAGCACTTCACTGTCAAGACTTTCCACTTTTTGGCAAAGTGTAGTTATGACAGTTAGTATTTTTTCTTGTATATTTGGACTAGTTTCTTCGTGAGAGATAATCTTCAATAATATTCTTGTCAGTTTTTATCACTTCAACTGTAAATGTAAAGTTTAATATATTTAATACTAATCTCCTTATTTCTTTTGTTGTAACTGAGTCTATTACCTTTTTAGTTATCCACCATTTTACTTGTGTATTATCTGTTCTCACAATAAATTTGTTATAAATAATATATGGTTCAAATGCTAATAAACATTTATATAATGCGAATAATTCTTTTCTATTTATTTCCCATTTAATTTGTGCTTCTGCATAAGATCCTAAATAATATCTACAATGGTGTTCTATTTTTGCTTTTTCATATTTGTATTTTAAAACTCCTCCATAACAATGATCACTTGAATCCGTTTCAACGATATAAGTAAATGTTTTATTTTCATCAGGAAAATAAAGTTTTAGTAATTTTTTACATAAATTCTTAGTATGTCTTATATGTTCTTTATCTTTATTGTCGAAATGATATTCAACATCTTTTTTAAGTTTTTTATATAATGATTTTAAATGTTCAGCTAATTTTGGTATATATTCTCTTACTTGGTTTACTAATCCTAGAAAGGATTGTAATTTCTTTTTTGTATCTATATTTTCATCAAGGGTGATTATTTTTTGTACTATGTGGTTTTTCATTTTTATTCCATTTCTATCTATTTGTATTCCTAGAAATTCTATTTGTGGTTTCATATTTTCTCCTTTCTTTTTACTTAAACTTATACCTGAATGTTTAATTATATGTTTTAATTTTTCTAATAACCTTATATGTTCATCTTGTGTTCTAGAATATAATAATATATCATCTATATATACAATACAATTCTCTAACTGGTTGAAATAGTTATCCATGAAATGTTGATATCTACCTGGTGCATTTTTATATCCAAACGGTAAAACATTCCATTCATAGAAACCTTGCGGTACTTTGAATGCTATTAGTTGTTTAGATTCTTCTTCTAGCTTTAGGTGATAAAATCCTAATTTACAGTCAAATTTACAAAAAAAATGGTTATATCCTTGTATTTGTCTTATTTTTAGTATTTTATTTGGTATTGGGTGATTATATGTTTTAGTTTTGGCATTTAAGTTACGATAATCTATAACCATTCTACTTTTACCTCTTTTTTGTTCACTATGTTTTATGACTATAAATGCTGGACTTGTATGTTTATTATTGCTTTCTTGTATGTAATTATTTTCTAATAGTTCATCTATATGTCTTTTGAATTCTTTTAAATCATCAAAGTTATATTTTAATGGTTTCTGTGTTATTATACTATTTTCATCTATTAGTTCAATTTTTACTTTTGTTTTATGCTTTTATCATCCTTATAATGGATATTCATTGTATAATTGTTCTAGTTGTTCATTAATTATTCTAACTTTGTCTATTGTAAATATGATAATCTCTAATTGTGTTATTTGTTTCTTATTTATATTTTCCATTTCTTGGTTTATTTTTTCACTTCCTTTTATCCATTCCATAGGTTTTCATTGTTTATTATTACTCTTTTTGCTCTTATCTTGTTTCCGCATGGTGTAGTAAACCACCAATGTGTTTTTGTTATTATATGTGGGTAGAATCTATCTAAACATGACATTCCTAATAACATATCTTTTTTTGTAAATTCAAAATTGTACATTTCTTCTATTGTTAATATTTTATTCCATATTTGTATTTTTATATTTTTTGCTTTGTATTTAATCATACTTCCTTCATTATTAAATCCTGTTACTACCATCGATGTTTTTAATTTTTCCCATTTATCTTCTGGTAAACAATTATATTTACATATGTTTGCTTCTGCTCCTGTATCTATCATAGGGGTATAATATCTGTTGTGGTATCCTTCTATAATAATTTTTGCAAGTATGTATATTCTCATTATTCATTTTGATCTTTTAATAATTATTTTCTTATTTTGACAGGTTATAGTTAATTGTTCATTTTCTGTGTTGTATGGTTTAACTTTTTCTAGCCATGTTATTCCTAATGTAATATTCTGATTTTCTTGGTAAATTTTAAATGGTATAATTAACGGTATTCCTCCTATAATTACTTCTTTTTCTGTTATTTCTTCATTTGTATTTACTATCTCGCTAGGTAGTCCGGGGCATAATTGTCCTGTTTTTATAATTTCTGTTTCCAATACTAATTCTCTTGTTATATAATTTTCTTCTTGTCCTGTATTTATTAAAATCTTATATCTTCTTTGGTCTATTATTCCTGTTATGAAGTAATGGTATGGTGTTATTTCTTCTTTATCTAATGAATTTTGTGGGATTTCATAGTTTCTTCTAGATGTACTCATTCTTGATGAGGTGGCTCTTGTTAATGTATTTGGTACGCTTGAAGTACTTAATCATTCTTTTACAATTTCGAAGTCTTCTTCTATGTCCATTTCTTTATAGCTATAGTCATTATTGTCTATTACAGTAATTATTTTTTCGAAAGGATTTTCTACTTTTATTTTATTAATTTTATTTCTTGCTGTTACTTTGTGTTTTGTTGTTAATATATGTAAGTTTTTACATCTTGCTTTGAATATTTTACTTCCTGGTGCTAGCTCAATTCCAGATATCTTCCAATATAATACTAATGACTTATCTATATTTCTGTCTGTTAATGCTACTGAATAGTTGGAACTTATTATAAATTTAAATTTTTGGTATATTAGGTTTCCTCTTACTGCACTGATTACACTTCTCTTTATAGGATATATAATTCTATCATCTGCTAAGTATATTTCAATAGGTGTATCTATTCCTTCTCTAAAACAAGCTTTTATTAATATTTCTGTTCCTCCTAAATGTACATATTTTATGGGTATTTTAGCTTTTATATCTTGTATTTCTCTATTAATTATTCTCTTATTTAGTATAGGTATATTTGCTTTTCCTCTTGTATATTTACAATCTATAATATGTTTTTTCTGGCTAACTACGTAGTATTCTTCTTTTTGTCTTTTAAACCAATTTCTTAAGGTAGGTATTTCAAGTACTTTTTCAACACTTAAGTCTAATTCTTTTCCTTTTATTTTTTCAAATATTGTATTATCAAATTTGATTTTTTGTTCTGATAATTCTTCATTTTGAATAACAGGAATAATAGACCAAAAAAAAAGAAGTCACTGTGTCCTATTCATGAATAGTAGAGGACAAAAAGTCACATTCATGAATAGTAGGAGTCAAGTTACTGTGTAAATAGTAACGGTCAACTTACTGTGTAAATAGTAAAGGTTAGTTACTGTGTAAATAGTAGGAGTCAAGTTACTGTGTAAATAGTAAAGGCCAATCGTCTTTCAGTAAGGATGAAAGGTCATTAGGAACTTGTATATTAGTGACATTTCCCTTTATAAATAAATCATCAATCACAAACCATCCATATATCTCTCTTTTCTCACAATTCTGCAATATAGTCGATCCCCCCCCCCCCCACAAATTGGAATATAGCTCATAACAGTAGGCAAGATGCATATACTGTATAACCATCGAGGGGAAAGAACAGAAGAAATCTATACCAAGGGGCATATACTCATGGAATTTTATGAGCTCTCTAAAATCATTATGAAGAATACAAGGACTTCCTATTGCTACTTCTCGCGACCTTCTTCAGAGGACTCCACACCAATTGTTTCTTTAATGCAACAACTGTTAGATGCAACTAATTGATAATAAAAATAACAACTAGAGAAACGCCAAGATATATAGAAAGAATTGGTCGAGCAGCAGAGTTATTGAAAGTTGAAATGCTAGACTCAGGGCGAAGGGTTGCAATAGAAGCCCGTCTTTTCGGCTGCAAAGCCTGGTTTGTTCCTTGAGGTGGTGGTCTAACTGCAATAATAGATCCTCGCCTTGGTTTCACAACTGCCTTTGTCACTGATGATCTCTTATATTTTTTTGTCATGTGATGCCACTGGCACAAAAGACTTCCTAGTTTTTGCAGGAGCATGAGCAAGAGGGGATGGAGGGGGCACAAAATTGCTGATTTTTCTCAAAGGCATTCTCAGTGCTTTTGAAGGAGCCAATGACGAGGTTGTGATATCAAGAGAAGCTCCAGCCAAAGCCTTGCTTTCCTGCTTTAAACGTATTTTCCCCTGCGCTACCAATTGGTTTTCCAAGTCACGAACTTGTTGCAAAAATTGAGAAGTCTTAGGTCTTGCAGAATCAAGACTATGAAGTCACAGTGTAAATGTGAAACTATCAGAAATTCTTAAGAAATGCCATTGGAAGGAGGAAT